CCACGTTTACACTATACCGGATTACTATCGTAGCAAGTTGAATTTCCTTTGTACTGAAAGGCGGTGAATTTGTGCAACGTCAGAAATACAATCAAATAGACTAAATTTATCAACTTAATAAGCATTTAATCCGTACAGTTACCCTTTTAAAGCAAATGAAGATGTCATGATGAGCGAATCCGGTGTGGTGTAAGCGCAACCTTAGTACAGCTTACTTTAAACATTTGACGTTATTTGTAGTGCATATATATATATATATACTATAATGAGTGTAGGTTGATCTTTAGTTGTTGGGGGAGGGCTCATACTAAAATATGCATGTTGTGATGCTTACAAAACAGTGGATTTTAAAAGAGCTTAAATTGGCTAATCATGAAAATTTGAACTCTAGCTTGCACAATTATCAATCTTCCGTACGCCCATACAGTTATATGTTCAGATGAAGTCTGTTGCAAAGCAAGAATGATTTGATTCCACACTAACCAATTGATGTGAGATAAGCATTGTTTAAAAGAAACTACAATGAAGAGAAATAATCAAATATTCTTTTATTCGGTTAATCTGTGTTAATAATGTGATGACACGAATTTAAGTCATAATTCACATCGATTTGCATAGCTGTTAGAAAAATTGCTGTGTTCATTTGTGATTTAAAATTTTAGCTGTCTACAGTCTCTTGTAGTAAATTTTTAACTTAACTTATTACATAGAGGTTTGAATTGTTGACTCCAGGGGGATCTATGCCTGACAACTTGGTAGAAATTTTTAAAGACAATATCTTTTCCTGATAGCATTATTATAAAATAAATTTTATGTCTCTAGACATTCCAATGAGCCATATATTTGGCATGATAATGAGCCTAAATATTTGGCAAAACATTCAAGTATTTTTCAATTCAGTTTTTTTTTGAAAAAAACGTAAGGAAAATGTGTTGTATTAACGGAAAAAAATTGCCTAAGAAGTACATTTTGTATTGCTCTAAAACGCTAAAAATGACATTTTAAGGCTCTGACATTCAAAATTTCACAGGGAGAATGCCTCGGACCCCCCCCCTGGTGCGGAGTGCCTCTGAAATTTTATGACTGATGTTTAAAAAATCCTTGATCCGCCCTTGGAAAGTCTTGTTGTGTTAGCCGTGGCAGTCATCCCACTAATTTAATCGTGCGATGTAAGTTTCAGACATTAGCGTTATTCCTTTTCTAATTTTTCTTAACATAAAAATTAGAGCCAAACAGATCATTTTCAAAAATTGATTATTGGTTTAATTTTAGTATATTTATTTAAGGTGACGCTTCGTTTTTACTCGACACATTTGCAGACTAAAGCGCGGGCCACACTATCGTCGAAATGCAACGAATTTCGTAACGAGTCGCTCGTCAACGAGCCGTCGTTACGAGTACATGTGCCACATTGTAACAATTTTCCGTACAAGCATGGACGATTATCAGGTCAAAAAGAAACTTCTATTATTGAAGAGAAAAATTCTACTGCTTCTATTTTCTGCAAAACGACATTCATACAAAAGAAGGCTCTGGGTACATCCCATAAATAAAAGGCGAGAAGAGAAGGGCTTGTATGACACGTTGTTGCAAGAGCTTCGTCAAGCTCTATTGGTCGCAACTTTCAGTTCCCGAGCAACATCCTTCCAATTATTTTTCTTTATATTGCCTGTATCTTTATAGTCAGGATGAAATTTGTCCCACAAACATCGCCTCTCTCTCACTAGCTCAATTAATATTTCTTGCCAATCCGCCATTTTGCCACAGCACAGTGAAAGTAAACATTAGTCATGTGATTTTTGTTGTCCAATCAGAGTAGATATGCAACAATTACTCGTCACTCGTTGACGATTTCGGTGTGCATGCTCAACGGCGACGAACTCGTCCATATCGTCATATTTTCTCGTTGACGAGCGACTCGTCACGAAATTCGTTGCATTTCGACGATAGTGTGTCCCGCGCTTAATTACAGATAACGAGTTACAAGAAAGAATATGCAAAACGATATTAGGTATTTACATAAAGGTATCAGATTACTGTGGATGTGAAAGTGCTAGAGATGAAGTTTACAGTATGTCGATCATATGGGTCGAATGACTGACACCAGAAGAGAGAAAAACAGCAAAGTCTAAAAATACATTTCTTGAAGCCAGTCACTTGACAGCGAGAGATTTGCCTGGCGGGAAACGGACTCGTGTTAAAAAAAACAACTGATATAAGTTATTATGTCAAGATATAATCAGACTATAACTAGAATTTTATCTTAGGCAATTGTTTTTGATACGAATCCGACGAGATCCTACTATCAACTACTATATTGGAAGTATGGTGGCTAGCATAAACAACAAATTAATTCACTCAACTCTCATTGTAAGAGTTTTAATTTGTAAGTGAAAAACAAAAACAGGTAGATTTACTTTAAAACAAGTAATTATGCACATATTAAACAATCAAAGCCAAGTCACAGGTATTCAAAATACTGTAATACTGTTTGTGTTCTTTGTATACTAAATGATATTCACGCGATACCAAAAACTAACGCACAAACCAACGATGATTGTTTGTCGTTGTTTTTATGCATCGTAAGTTGTGCGGGAACCGCCATGTGAACTCAATCATGTAATAATGCTTGCCTTATATATCTACTTGGGATGTCGTATGTGACTTATTTTACATAGCTCAAAAATTAACGGAGAAAAACTAAGGATAATAAAGTCAGCCTGTATTCATGCTGGCTCACAAATGACATGATAAAAAGACTCCTTATATAATCATTGACCCCCTTAGTCGACCCCCTAAATCTTCTGGACTTCTTAAACAAGTATAGAAAGTCAATAAATCAACGGTCAAAAAGTTTCTCTTGTAGCGAAGTAAAAAAGTTCATTTCCTATCTTGGTACTCCCACTTTACCTAATTGGGTTTGTGACTCGTGTGTCTGACGTAACATTTTGTTTCTCAATTCAAAAAGTCTGATGATAGTTGTAGTTAGCTATTGTTGACAGTTTATTTGAAATAAATTTAAAATAGTTTATAATATCATATACGTACTTTGTTAAAAATTAATATTAAAACAACCAATTTTTCTCTCAGCTACCAATTTAAATAAGGTAATTTATCATATATTTTTTTGATCAAACGGAATTGGTTGATCCGACTCATTCTTCTTACGTTAGAACAACGTCATTTTTATTGGAAAAAAGTTTTTAACCAATTGTTGAATGGTTATACTGTTTGCCTGTGTCATTGCATTGTGTAATGACCAATTTGTAATTGGTGAAGTTATATTTCAAAATGGCGGATTTGAAAGGGTTATAGCCCTACTCAGTGTTTTGAGCATTTATTAATTTCATTGTTTGTTGCAAAACTGGCATGGAACATAAAAAAGCATTTAATTATTGCATACAATGGTTTGTAGACAAAAAATTGCTAACGTTTTTACGTAAATAGTGGAAATAAAAAAAACAAACGTAGGTATTTTTCTCTTAGATCAGCGATTATGTTTTTCCTTTCACTCGTAATGTTTATCAATTGGTTGCAAATTTGAAACATTCGCTGCAGAAAAATACAAAGAAGAAATCTGATGTTGTTGTTAAAGATGGTGCAGACAAGAAGAAACAGAAGACGTCCAAGACAAGTAAAGAAACGACAAAGAAAGGAACAGAAGTCCTGTGTATGTTGGTTTGTGATATGTAGATGTTGTACAGCTGTCATGGGATTTTGTTAGTAAAATGTCAAGAAATGGCAGTTGATGTTGCTGTTCAGTTTCAAATGAAAATGTAATGTTTGCGTGCTGTGTGTTAATGTAATGATAAACCTTCATGGCCTCAGTTTTGTTAGTAAAAACACAAAAAATATCGTCAACGTATCTGCGGTAAAATAGTGGTTTAGTGTCGTTGTAGTTGTTTAGCCAGTTTCGTTCATTTGAGCCCATAAAAATGTTAGCAAGTATGGCTGCTAATGAAGAGCCCATCGCAACACCGTCCGTCTGGTCATAAAATTTTACATTAAATAAAAAATGCGTCTGTGCTGTTGCTATTAAAAACAGTTAAGTGAGGTCTGTCCCGTTTATACTGAACCTGGGGTTATGAGTGAATATTAGGTCAATTGCTAGGTTGATGGTTTCAGTAAGTGGTATGTTAGTAAATAGGCTTTCAACGTCGTAGGAGATGAGGAATTTGTGACAAGAAGTTGATGAGTTAAAAGATGAGAAATCTTCAAGGAAAGTGAAGGAATCTTTAGTGGAGTGGTCATCTGGTATGAGTGGTGTTAGTAGAAAACTAACATACTTACCTAAATTATAATTGTATGCGTTGATTGATGAAACTATCGATCGTAGTGGAGGCGATTGTTCTGGTTCTCGTTTCTTGTAAATTTTCGGTAAGCCATAGAAGCGTGAGGGTTTAGAACATCTGGAGAAGTTATCGTTATACGGTCTGATACACCCTGATTCGATTAAATCTATTGTGGTATATGAATTCAATTGCGCGGTATGTAATTCCCGATACGTTGGCGAAACTTCGCGCTATTTGTCGACAAGCATCAGGGAACATACCACAACAGACAAAAACTCTCATATCTACTGACACCTTAAATCTCACTATGTAAAACCAACTATTCACCCTCTTGCTTCAAAATCATCCACACCGCCGACACCTCATTCACCCTTAAAATCGAAGAAGCACTCCACATTAACAAAACTAACCCTGACCTCAATGTTCAAGTTCTTAAATTCAATGCAATATTTAGTTTATAATAGGCTCGGACGCTCTCCATTAATTTATCTTATTTCCTTTTTATTGCTGTAATTTCTGTATTATATTACTTTTATATAAGCCTTGTATCATTTATTATCTCACTCATACTGAAGACGGCATGATGAGATGTCGAAACATGTCTATTCTAAAAAAGTCGTCGTGTATATTAAATGCGCATTTTAAAAATAACTATGCAAATATTTTCTACACTTTAACACTAACGCCGTCACGTCTCTTTTTACGTAGAGATGCGAAAGTTCCCGATCCTCCTAACGGGCAAAGATGGAAAGCAGTTCAGCATGATAATAAGGTGTGATAGTTTTTGACGACTGTGTACATTTCCTTACAAATTATGTTCGTTGAATATAAATATTGAGGGATATGTGTAGACTTTGATTGACATATAGTGTTGTTGATGGATATATATGGATCTACTTTGAATCTTGGTAATAATTTTCACAATTTGAGATTTCTCTTCCATTTATTAGGTTACGTGGTTAGCCTGTTGGATCGAGAATATCCAGGGAAGTTACAAGTACGTCATGTTAAATCCAACATCAAGGATCAAGGTAATTAATATGCGATTGTGGATTTGTGATGTGCAGAATGATGTTGTTTTGAAAGTATGAGTTTTGATAATTTAGGGAGAAAAAGATGGGCAGAAGTATGAAACCGCGCGTAAATTAAAGGTATGTGCAACTATTTTTTTATTTTATGTGATTTGACTCTCCATAATGTTGTGTGCAAAAGACTGTTACATGAATCCATTTAAGATAATCTGAAATGCGACTTTGCTCAGCAATCCGCAAATCTTTGTCTGAAGTCCAAACTCAGAATCCCAAATCTATACATTCTATTTATGCAAGACTCTAAAGTATGTATTGGGATGCAAGAGATGTGATGTTGATTGATAATGTTTTGGTAGGGTTTAATTGGTCAAATCCGTCAAGGATATAGAAATGATTGGAAATGTAAGGAAATGTGTTAAGACAAAGGTATATTCATTGTTAGCTGATAATTTTAACTCATACGAAACAAGCGATGTTCCGAAATATTTATTGCTAATTAGAAATTTTGATTAACTGTAAAAAGTAGCTATATTTCGATTAAAATATCATTAAACATATTTAATTCGCACAATTAAAATAGTGGAATATCTTTTGTACTTAGAAGTCACATTGAAATTGAAATATCTGGCCTTTGACGGGGGGGGGGGATTTGATTTATTTAACTATAGGAGCTTGTGTTGTTTTTAAACAAGTTAACAGCATTTTTATTTCTTTTTTCCAGAGGTGTAGCGTTGTATTTCATTGATAAGGTAATGGTTTTATTTGAACATTTTGTTCTGCTTTTGAACATTCTTTTACCATCCAGGTGTTTTATATTCCTCCATTAGCTTGCTCTTCGTGCTGGTCACGAGAAGGACGAAGATACCGCTGACACAGTGGGTTGCTGTTCACTACGATATGAGCACATAAGTATGCTCGTTTATTGTACATAATAAGTTTCTCCTTGTTCGATCGGAATAGCTATTATAGTAAACAATCAAATTTGAGGCAAACACACCTTCTGCATTTCAGCTTCTCGTGGTGGGGTCAACGTGTTAAAATAATCTTTTTGTCTTTTCAAACATATTGGTTTCTTTGACACAGAAAAAAATACGTCGGAAGTTTTTTTATGGGACTTAAAACGAAAATGCTGACGATTATTCTTCGTGTTTGTTGTTTGTTCACAAAATATAAGTGTTTACTTTATCTTATAACAAATACGAGAAAAAAAGTTGTGGAACAACTATAGTAAATGGTTTGAATCTGATACTGTCTATGGTTTGTGAATGTTAGTGATGTTCCGAGAAGAACTGTTGATGATTATTTTAGTAAACATCGTTTTGATTGCGTTAACTAGCATTTTTTTATTTTAACGTATGACCATCTCTAACAGTCAGTATTTCATCAATCTGGCGCATCAACTTTCGAAAACTTGAGCCATTTTTAACATAAAGACATGTTTTAGTTGCCATACCAAAAGCATCCATCTTTTTTTTGTTGATATTTTTATTTTCTATTTTTAAGAACTTCATAAACAACTCGAGGACAAAGAATACGTAGTTGAGTTTGATTTTCTAGGTAAAGATTCCATTCATTATCACAACTTTGTACCTGTTGAAAAAAAGGTAAAATTTAGTTGTGATGTAAGTTTAATGTTGTAAGCATTTCTTATTTTGAGAAAAATGAAGAATGCGTTTGTGAGCCTTGATCATGCATATAGTTGGAAGTGTTACGATGAAAATGTAGACATCAGAAACTGTTCGTAGCCTTTTCAGTTTACTTATTTTTGTGTTCAGTGATTCTAATCTATAATTTCTCATGGGATTTCAGCATTTTAATTTACTTTCTAATGGTGTTTAGCTATTATATATTACTTCATATAAGTGTTTTGCGATTCTAATGTATTTCTAATTAGTGTTCAGCAATTCAATTTTACTTTCTATACGTAGGTGTTCAAGAATTTAGAATTGTTTCAGCAAGGGAAAACAGACGGAGACGACCTGTTCGATAGGCTGACTGTGAGTTGGGAAGTTTAAAACTATTGCTTCAATTATTTGCTGTCGATTTACATTCAACATTCTCTAATTTGTTATTAAAATATCTATTGAATGAATCTAACTCATAGTCTGTGTTCTTCCTCAGACAACATCATTAAACAAACATCTCTCAGATCTAATGGAAGGCCTCAGTGCCAAGGTCTTCCGTACATACAATGCATCAATGACCTTACAAGAACAGCTGGATAAACTTGAGTTAGAAGATAATGTTGCAGCAAGAGTATTGGGTTATAATCGCGCAAACAGAGCTGTCGCCATCTTATGTAACCATCAGGTGTAGTGTTGTGGACATGGACTGCATGAAAAATTTTGTGTTAAGACTTAAGAAAAAAATTTTATGGTTGTGAAAAGTAAAATGCGAGGACAGTTAATTTTAGTTATGATCGTGTGTTAACTATGTTTGCAATTTACTTTAAAGCTTTACGTTCGTTCTCTCTTGTGTAGCGATCCGTTCCAAAGACGTTTGAACAATCCATGTCAAATCTTCAGCAAAAGGTAAAGTCTGCTTATGGATATTCCACCTTCACGTGATAAACACGTGATATCATACGTCAACAAGTAAAATAAGTAGTTCAAATAATGTTTGTTGAAATAGATTGACGACAAGAAAAAAGCCATAGAGGATGGGAATGTTGAACTAAAGGATCTTAAACGTGAAGCTAAAGGAAGCGATTCAGTAACACTTGCAAAGTATGTGTCTTTAAAATACGACGCTAAAGAAACCAGTAAACTTCAATATTTTTTAAGATTCTCAAAGTTAAACTCACCTTATGAGAATTCTGCAAATGGGACGAAGATATATTTTGTAATGTACCATATGTCCTAAAAGTTGATAAAACTTGTATTTCTGTGCATTAGTGTTGGAGTTGAGATGTTTGATGTCGTCATGAAGGATTTTAAACAACTGTTTTTTTAAGGAAAATCGAAAGGAAAAAGGTCGCCATAGAACGTTTAAAGGAACAATTGTTTAAACTGGAAGTCTCACAAACAGATAAGGTATGTACGTTTTCGCTGTTACATGTTACAGAATTGGTTGAATTTGTTCTTTGAGTCAATTTGTTCTTTTATTCGCTACAAGTAAATGCATGCTTGGTGTGGCCAGATTCCGTGATTTTTATTACCAGATCCGTTCTGGTGAACTTAGACAGCCACACCTGTTCAGCTTTACATAATTTCATATGATCTTATTAGCACAATACTAACTAAACATTACAACTAAATGATAGTATTTTAGAAACTTTCATTTGCAAACATGTTTGAACTTAACATTAAGTCATCTTCAGTGCTAATGGATAAGTTATTTACATTGTGGAATATGTGTGTAATACTGTATCATATTTTTATTTTATGTATTCCACGCTGTAATTAAATTAATTATCCATTCGCGCAGAAGATGATAGGTAGTTAAGTTGAAACATGCTTGCGAATAAAAGTTTTGAAAATACTGTCGTTTTTGGGTACTAAAGTGGCGTCAAAATGTTTTTTTATCAAAACATGCAGACATTACATAACGCTCATAATCATCCTTACATTATTGTAAAGTCATAAAGGAATTGTCAACGGCAAAAAAAAGTTCAATGTAAGTAACATCATGGGACAAAGTGGTAAAACAAGAGATATAAGTTACACAACAAAAATAAATAGTTTACTTATTAACTAGTGTATCCTTCTCTTGCTTTAATTAGCACGCACATTTTAAATCGCTTCGACATCCCGTCTTTTTAGTATATCAATCTTTATTGTGGATGTTAGTCATTACTGTTGCATTATAAAACAACGTCTGAGAAGCCCTTTGTATTGACTTTGTATTACCAAATGAAATATCATATTTTTATAAAAATCCAAAAACCACTTTAAAAATATTTTTTGGCCATTCATATTTATTGTTGTCTTCACATTGTTCTGCTGTTGTTGATTAGAATGAAAATAAGGAAATTGCTCTTGGGACATCCAAGTTAAATTATCTTGATCCGAGAATATCGATTGCTTGGTAAGATCCAAATATCTTCATATCCATCATTTTTAAATAAAAAATCGTAGTTTATTGATTGATCTGATGTTAACTTGAATTCTTGAACTGTAAATGTATGATTTAGGTGTCTAAAGAACGATGTCCCTATTGAGAAAATTTACAATAAGACGCAACGTCAAAAGTTCGCTTGGGCTATTGATATGACCGAGAAAGACTTTGTTTTTTGAAAATTTAGTCTGTAGTTAGTGAAAATTTTAACTCTTTGTGAATTTACCATTTTAACATATTCTAATTGGACGATTTTAACCTATTTATGTCGTTCCTGATTTTGTTTGAAAGCAGACAATTGAGGTTATTCTTTCGACGTAAAATCAAGACCATTTGTTCAGCTGACAATCGTGTGGTAAATACCTACATCAGAATTACAGTTCTCTTTCTATCTTTGCCATTGGCTGAGTTCAATTTTATTCTATTTTTCCCAATTTAAATATGAACATGCTTTTTGTCGTCCTAAATCACCACATAGCAATGCCTGACATTGTATATTGTTTATTTGTTTTTGTCTCTTGTTATAGTTTGGTCATAGATACATGCATGACCTAACCTAGATTACATAAAAAAATTTATAAAACGCTTAAATTCTATGTACGCCTTATTTTTACTATTATGATTTTCCGACAACTTTTCAAAAAGGCGACATGAACAGCATTTCTAAAAGGCGGCATGAACGACATTTTGAAAAGAAGACATGAACGACATTTCAAAAAGTTGTGCCATACAACAACAGTAACATGCACAAAATCTTGTTAAGGCTCACAGCACTATATGTTGGTGACGTTAAGTTTACGTCACTACACGACATGTTTTCCTACATAGAACATGACTTGTCTAACAATGTTATAGCTCGACATGAACCTCAAGTGAATCCCTTTCTTCAACTTGGCAATAATGATGTCATGGTTACAAAGCATAAGTCAAAGTAAATTATAAAACACATCATCTTGTAAACTCAAGATATGATTTAAGAAAGCAAGAGACAAGATTTAAAGCAATATTTCGACTTTATTTCAAAGACATTATCAAGCTAAATCAAAGAAACTATGTAATGTGAGCCCAAGGCAATAGACTGCAATAAATGTTATTCTGTCTCAAGCTCTTGACATGTTGTAATATGCTTGGCATGTTTCTCATATCGCCGAGTGGTACAGTAATTGGTGCAGTGGTTTAGCTTTTCCACGCTCAAATCCGCGTCATTTTGTGTAACTGATCACTATTTTGAATCCCAGGTGCATTTTTTTTTCAAATTTGTCGTTAGAACTCATGTTAAACTCCCAGTAGCAGATGCGTTTTTGTGTTTTGTAACAAAGATATGTAATACATGCACGTAGCTGACACTATTTTACGCAATGGTGGGCTTCACAAAACGAGGGGTAAATCAATAATAGATACACATTTATGTCTATTTCGTTTGCCAAAGTAAAGACGCGTTCTTCTATATAAACATTTTGGAGAGTTCCTTTTCTTCAGTGGGTGCTTTTCATCCCACTTTCTAACTACAAAAGTTTGATTAAATTTTTCTAGCGTACGAAGGTGATGATTTTAATTACGGATGAAATAAATTCACGCTTTATGCTTTAAAATTATACTGGAAGCCGTTGGAATAATTTACATCTATAATAATAAGATAACGGAATAATGAAATAACGACCGTGAATGAAATTTAAAAAGTGTTAAATCAATGAATAGTCATGTGATTCATGTATTCATGTAATAATGCTGTCAACTTTCTATCATGATGTTTATACGTTCGACATAAAAAAAATTCATAGACATAATGACAGCGATGCATTACACCATTAAACCGACAGCAAACATGTACATTGTAATTATCTTCAATATGACAATGCCATATACTGTGCATAATTTATTTGTCTTCTTCTTTCAAGTTATGAAATAAGTTGTCTAAGAAAGCAATAGTTCTATACAGTGAGCGCCAAGTAAGTCCCTGTCTTCGTCTGTAAAATGACTGTGACGAAGCATTGCCTAAACATACAAAATCCTAAGTTATAAAAGAACACAATAAATGTTATTTTGTGCATTTACTTCTTATTTTTTACTCGGTTAACATGTCTCTCGGTACAGTGATCTAAATTTTCATGCGTTAAAACAAACTTTTTTTATTCTTTCCAATGTTGAAAAATGGTCGTATTGTGAGACAAAAGGCATGTTGTTATTCTTGACTAGAATGTGCGAGCTGTTAAAAACCGTACGAAGTTGCGAGCCTTGCTTCATGTCCACAGTTTTCAGATGGTCATTAATGCTTTTGTCCTGTTAGACTTCCTGCAGGGGCGGATCTAGAGTATGTCAAATCCGTCGCGCGACTGATGTTTGAAATTCAAAAATTACCTATTCATATTAATTAAAAATTCATTAATTATTCTTACTTTATTATCGCATTTACTTCGTGATAAAAATCCAGCTTTATTTATTATTGAAAACTAATGACTAATCCAATGAATATCTCGTTGGTAACCAGATCAGTTGAATTTTAATTGACCTGGAATAACCGACTGATAAGCGGGTGGCTTGACTGGTTCGACGGATAAAGGAGTCTATGAACGCCAAAAACGCTTATTTCATTGGTCAATAGCCAGATCAGTGAACGATCTGGAATAATCTCGACCGATAAGCGGGGTGGCCGGACCTATAAGGGAGTCCACCCCAAGATAGCAAATCTTACAATTGGTTCATTTGAATTTTTGTCTTACTGTGATTGGTTTGATTGTCTTACTGTGATTGGTTACTGCGATTTCGACTGATAGGCAACTGAACTAACATAGTCAAGCTCACTGTCTGAATTGAATGTTTGATCGTTTCATAGTAATTTCACAGAATAGATACATACAGAAGCGCCACTCGATGTCGGAACCTTTGATGTTCGTGTCCCCAGCATCCGGGCAACTTTACACGGCGGCCATGTTTCCAGCCAGATAAATGCAGCCAGATCGCAATATAATATATAGTTCTACGGATGGGTTTTGGCAAATAAACCCAAATATTTCTATAGATTGGCCATTTTTTTAATATTTTTTTGTGTGGATACAGTTAACACATCAAGCTCTCAACAATTTATCATTAATTCGACGTCCGTTTTGATAAATGAGGGTTTATTCGGAATATTTACAAAGTAGATATGTATCTGACGAGATGCGTACTCGGTATATGGTTTGTCGTCAGTTTTAATTTTATCATATAAGAATTCTGCAGAGAATCTTGAAGACATTTGTTCTAACATTTGAAATCTCGGTCGTGGCTGAAACAAGTGACAAATCAAATTATCCTCCAGTTAGTTTATATATTGCAAACAACCTTTGGCAGGACATTCGAATCACCAAAATTGTCTACCCAGGTGTTTTAAACTATCAGAAGCGATGCTGCATGGCCACTATGAAAGTCATCTGATGCCAAAATATTTTGTATTCATCACAGTTGTGACTTGTGAAGCTTGAATGACTTTTTGAGCAAGTTGGAACATAAGCAGCAGCATGTTGGCCTCCACCAATAAAGTGCTTGAATAGCAATTTGTAGAACATATACTGCCATATGGTCGACATGACTTAACTTTGTTATTTCTGCCTTTTTAAATTCAATGAGGAGATTATTAATGTATTTGACATGGATGCTTATTGATGATGTGAGAAGTGAACATAAAAAAGCTTCCTGAATGCTTTTGTGAATTGGATTGGTGTTGGCTTGGCACAGTTTCCCCCTGTCAAATGTTTTAAAAAAGTTTTCTGGTGTATCTGTGTTTCACCTTTTGGTAAACATTTTACTGTGTAAAGTATTACGATTTAAATAATGGCATTAAGAGTAACTATAACTGGTTTTTGTCAGAATAAGTTCTATGTTTGTAAATGATGATCGTCCAGGTTAATAAAGTCCTGAGAAGGACTGTTTTTGATGTTGTTGACTACATCATCAACATCAACAACATCAAAAACAGTCCTTCTCAGGACTTTATTAACCTGGACAATCATCATTTACAAACATATAACGATACTCCCGGGTTCAAACCATTTACTTTAGAATAAGTTCTGTTTGTGACATGATTACTTACAATAAAAATTTTAATTTACTGAATGAAGTTTATGGATTTTAGCAAAAATTAAATTTTCGAGCCCTTTGTTGCAATAATTTCTCTCTGCTGGTTGATCAATGCGGTGAATCAAACATAATTCTAATCATTTTTCACATACAATTGTTGGTCACAACTCACAAGTGAAGTTTAACCAAAGAGGTAAGCTGTAGGAGCTTGACAATATGTTTGACATAATGGTAAAGTTGTTAATTTAATTGTAACAATTTATCAATAACTTCATTCTTTAAAAAATTGTAATTTCATATATTGTTTATTAAAAATAAGACAACAAAAAACATCTTTATTTGTAAGTTAATACAAATTTGACAGACATGATAGCCACAGGAACTCAATATACAATTACAAATAAAACTTTCAATTACAATTATGCAGATAAGCTACATTGCAAATAAAAGCCCGATTCAAGAATCAAATATAAATTAGTTTAGTCCAAATTTTATACTAATAACGTCTTCATCTGAAGAACGTTCTTTACGCACAGTAGGTCGTTTTATCGCTTCTATCAAATCCGTTGACCATTCTAATAGGAAACTCTTTACTAGAAAATACAGAAATGGAATCACACTAAATATATTTATTACTTTTGTCCTAAATTATAAATTCTTAGGGCAACTGCTGTTCAATATAAGAGACGTTCTAAACATGCATCTCGCATACAATTCAAGGCAAGAAACTATAAAACCCGTAAAATTATATTTGACGAACGTATTTTACAACAAAACTGTTTCTCACCTCATATGCTTGGTATCCTATCCGATGGCATTAAAAATTTTGTCCATAAGTGAACTTAAATTCGTCAAATTTTCGAAAAAAACTCTTCATAATATTAATCTATATACATTCTGGCCAGTTTATCTGGCTGGAGTAATGGCGGACGCAAAAGATGCGCACTTAAGAACTGGGTACAAGTAGGGGACAGATTTTTCGCTGAGTGGCGCTTATGGCGCGCCGATACAGACAAAAATACTTCTTCTAAAGATCAAACTTCTATTTCAAATTTATTACTATGTTTGATATAAAATTATAGTACTTCTGAAAATTATTACTATGTTTGATATAAAATTATAGTACTTCTGAAAATTATTACTATGTTTGATATAAAATTATAGTACTTCTGAAAAGTTTAATACTTTATTGCTGCCTGCAGTACGCCACATGTTATTTTTTGTAAAACTTCATGTTGTCGAATTTCGATGTAAGTTGTAAGATGGCGGACAAAATGATAGACAAACTAGTCGAGGCGGTTAAAGCCATAAAAGAAAACCCTTCTGTTGAAGAAAATATGAAGA